CCGCCGGAGCCCCTCCGCGGCTTTGAAAGCCTCGGGGGAAGCCGGCGGGGGGGCACCCCAGGCGCTCCTGGCGGCTTTGCTCCCGGTGCCTCTGGTCTGCTGGGGACCATCTCCAGCAGACCAGGGACACCGGGAGCAAAGGAGGCGGAAGGGCGCTGGGGTATAAGATGAAACCCTATCTTTTAATTAAAAAGATAGGGGGTCGTCTTATACACCCAGTCACCCTATACGCCGGAAAATACGGTATATGTGTTTCAACTCTGCAATTTTTCTGAGCAGTAAAAATTAAAGTGGCCATGGCTTATGTAAATGCATTGGCCATGGCTTATGTAAATCAGAGAAGTATTTACAGAATTATGTCAGTATTCTCTTAATGTGAAAAGGAAATTTCTGTAGATTTCACATTATGAATGACAGTGGTGGCAATTGTAGAAAAAATATGCACTCCTTTAGCAGCACATTCAGATCTGATTAAATTCTCATTGAAAATAATGAAAATGAAGTTGATCAAAGATTTTTCAACATACTTTGGAAAAAAATCAAAATGTTTGTGGATTTGTTTTGTTATTATTTTTCACCTAGCCTAGCAAGTGATTGAAATTTTGAGAAAATGTCTTTGCAAAAATGTGAGGGAAATTTTACCAAATATTTTAATCAGCTCGAAAATGATCATAATTAGATCAGACCCATAATTTTGTATGTTATTGGGTAATTTTGATGTCATCACTTTATATTTTTTAATATGTGTTCATTAATTATAGGGCCCACCCGGTGCATCGGGATTTCCAGGAAACCCAGGTCTTCCGGTATGTATGAAGCATACATTTATTCATAAGAACCTTACAGTTTTACTAGTGACAATAGCATTTGTTACTTTTTCTGCTTTCTCCTAATGGCAGGGCATCCCTGGACAAGATGGCCCACCAGGTCCACCTGGTATCCCAGGATGCAATGGCACAAAGGTGACATTTACATTTTTAACAACAATTCTCTTCTACATATTATTTAAGATATCAATGTGTTTCCTAAACAAAGTCAATTTCTCTGTTCTCTTTAGGGTGAAATAGGTCCTGTTGGTCCTCCAGGTTTTCCTGGATTGGTTGGGATCATAGTAAGCAAACATTTTTTATACATAATTCATTCCTGTCACTTCTGATGCTTGAAATTTTAAATGTAATAAAAGTTGTATAATATCAATAATATGTATGAGAAAAAATGATACATTTTAAATGTATTTTTCAGGGACCTCCAGGACCTCCTGGTATTAAGGTACATTTTGTCTTTAAAATGAATGCATTCATATATTGCTTTCCAAAGTTAAAAATTGGAAGACCTATGAACATGAAAATTAGCGGTCCTTACTTAGGTATTCATGCTGCAAAGCGATATGTAGATGGTTCATTATGTAGATGGTTCAACAACAAAGAAAATAGTACACACTGTTAAGCAAGTGTCTAATGCCCATTCCCTGATCTATAAAGACTTACATTCATTTTTAAGAGTCAGACATACCATTCAGATGATACCAATTTGGAAGGGTTGCAAGTGCTTTGGAGGTTAAGATTGAAATTCAGAATGATCTGGACAAACAGCCTAAATAGTCTGAAGAAAATAGGAAGAATTTCACTTAGGGTGTGTCTAGACTACAGAGTTTTGTCGACAAAAGTGGACTTTTGTCAACAAAACTATACCTGCATCTACACTACCGCTGAGTTCTGTCGACATAACGTCAACAGAACTCAGCGGTTTTGTTGACGCTGGTAAACCTCATTTTACGAGGTATAACGCCTTCTGTCGACAGAGTTTCTGTCGACAGAAGGTGTTATTGCATGTAAACTGTCCTTTGCGTCTACACTACCATGTCGACAAAGCAGCTTGCTTTGTCGACAGAACTGAATGTAGTGTAGACGCTCTTTGTCGACAGAAGTTTTGTCGACAGTATCTGTCGACAAAACTTCTGTCGACAAAAGCCTGTAGTCTAGACGTACCCTTAGAAAGGAACAATCAGTTCCACACATACAAAATGGGAAATGACTTCTTAGGAAAGGGATACCTCAGGAAGGGATCGGGGGGAGAGGAGGCGATAAAGGGTCACAAGCTAAATACGAATACGCAGTGTAACTGTTGCAAAAAAAGCAAATATGTCTAGAAAACATGACCTATGAGAGAAAATTGAAAAACTTGAGTTTGTTTAGAGTGCATCTACCCTGCAGCCTTAGCTCGAAAGGTTTACCAGAGGTATCCCGAAATAGCCTTGCAGTGTACATATACCCCCTTAGTCTGGGGAAGAGAAGACTGAAGAGGGGCATGATAAAAGTTTTTAAGTAGATAAAAGGTTGTTACAAGGAGGAGGAAGGAAAAATATTCTCCTTAATCTCTGGGGGTATGTCTACACTACAAAGTTAGTTCGAACTAACGGACGTTAGTTCGAACTAACTTTAATAGGTGCTACACTAGCGCTCCGCTAGTTCGAATTTGAATCGAACTAACGGAGCGCTTAGTTCGAACTAGGTAAACCTCATTTTACGAGGACTAACGCCTAGTTCGAACTAGCTAGTTCGAACTAAGGGCTGTGTAGCCCTTTAGTTCGAACTAGTGGGAGGCTAAGGCTTCCCAGGTTTCCCTGGTGGCCACTCTGGCCAACACCAGGGAAACTCTATGCCCCCCTCCCGGCCCCGGACCCCTTAAAGGGGCACGGGCTGGCTACGGTGCCCGTGCCAGGTGCAAGCCTGCCAGCACCCAGCTAGCAGACCCTGCACCTGGCACGG